GGAAACGAAAAATTCAGCAATTTTTATGTTTATAAAGGGACATTACTCAAGAATGGTAAAAGTGTCGCCACCAAATTTCGTACTTAATCTGTATTATGTAGTAATAAGCATTGTGTATAAGTTTCATAACATTTGGTTGAGGCAAACTAAAGTTAGAAAACGGAAACAAAAAATTTGTACTTGATCTTAGTTTTGTGGTAATGAATATTGGGTATAGGTTCCATAATGTTTGGTTGGGGCAAACTTAAGTTACAGAATGGAAACTAAAAATTTGCAATCTTTCAATTTATAAAGGGGCATAACTCAATAATGGTTAAAGTGAAACTACCCAAATTCAACTTGATCTGTGTTTTATCAGTGGAAGTCAAAATTAAACATTGCATTGTATAAAGCATTGATTGTAGTTGATTCAACTATAATAATGGACAAAGGAAGATAATTCCAATTTTAAAAATTACTTGATATTTAGAAGAAAATAAAAATTTTGCAATTTTTCCATTTATAAAGGGGCATAACTCTAGAACGGTTAAAGTGACGCCACCAAAATTCAAACTTGATCTGTGTTTTGTGGTGATAAGCATTGTGTATAAGTTTTATAACATTTGGTTGAGGCAAACTTAGAACAGAAACTAAAAATTTTGCAATTTTTCCATTTATAAAGGGGCATAACTCTAGAACGGTTATAGTGACGCCACCAAAATTCAAACTTGATCTGTGTTTTGTGGTAATAAGCATTGCATGTGTATAAGTTTTTACTTTAACATTTGGTTGAGGCAAACTCAAGTTAGAGAACGGAAACCAATTTTGGGACGTACGGACGTACAAGGGTAAAACTTAATGCCCCCACCGCTACGGCGGGGCCATAAAAAAATAGCCTTGCTAGACGTCATAATTATTTGGACTACCAAAAGATGTAACCTATTACCTAATTCTTACTTGTTTGGGGAAGAGGGGATTACGTATCCGAACCACTATTCAATCTAAATCAGTGAACTGAATTATTGTCTTTTGCAGTAGTCCGAGTCGACATCTGTAACTAATCATGCAAATTGATAGTCAACAGTATACCTTTTTCAGAATGTCAGTTCACAAAGAATCACTGGTGATAGGGGAGTGTAACCGATAAATTGATCCTAAATCAGATAAGATTTTCCAAGGACAACTAACACAATACGTCCTTGGATTTTCCCAGTAACGGAGAACCCCTTTCTTTGAGTGAATATAAATAGTGACGGGGGTCTCACAAACAAATTTAAATCTGAATTACAGGAACATCGATTAGCAAAGTAAACTTACATATTAATCTCGAAGCTATTTACGGTAAAGACAGACTGTGCCCCTGATATTGGAATTAAGGTATTATACATTTGTGTATTTTACTCGGGGGGGGGGGGGGGGGGGGGGGGGGGGGGGCACTTCCTATATACAAGGTGATAGGACGTGCCGCTGGAATAGGTCACTTTGTCCAGCTTGAAAATATGGGAATAGGACTGGGGAAAACTATTAGAAATATATGATAAGGTCGATAAAGTTCCAATTACTTGTATATGAAAAGCCCTGTCATTTTTTCACAGCCGAAAGTCTCGCCGTAAGTAAACACTACATACAGAATCTTAGCCTTAAATATTCCACTTTTCCAACACACCCCACGAAAACCAACCAATATGGGAAAAGGTTACAATTTTACCCACGCAATATATGAAAAGGTATACATTTTTAAGATCTGAATTATATTAATAGGGTGGGGTAACAGAACCCCAGCGACACCCCCTATCAATTAAGTATTGAAGTGCCCCCCCCCCCCCCCCCCCCCCCCCGGAGGTATTTTACTGCTACAAGATATTTGATTTGCTAATCACGCACCCGTTGATGAGCAGAGAACCATACTTTCAAGCCAGGGGCAGTCTATACTAACAGTTAGTATAGAAAGTACCTGTAAAAAGGCAGGCAAATCCTAACAGTACTGTAACTTAATGATACATGTATATCAAGTTACAGCACCTCACCCAGCACAGTTAGCACACTGGTGTGTGTCAGTCTTATAATATAAAACTGCGTAGGTTCATATCGTTTGATTCAACGTTTTTCCGGATATTTTTTAGGACCGTTGTCAACATTGTCAAATCCGACCTGCCACTTTGCAACCTGACCTTCAAAAACATAGTTCGACTAAAAACAATGCCAGTCAAAACTGCTTTTTGAGACTGGGCGACTGAAAAAGTTTTAAAATATGACCCTGTGACCCTACTTGGAATTCTTCATTCATCGGCGTGTGTCGGTTTGGCTAAAAAGGGGGCAGTGTTTTTTTTTCTTGGGACAAAAAATTGTTTCTATCTTTATTAAAAAAAAAAAATTAAGACCAATCATAAACTTTTTTTTCAAAACTCAGTGTCGTATTTTATTGTTTTCCCAACAATTTTTAATAAAAGCTTAAAATGTTTGTTTCACTCGCCTCGGACTTCCCTCCTGATTTTTTTTCTCAAGAAATTATAGAATAGTAAATGGATATATATATATATATGTCTGTGGTCACCGTCATGCAGTTAGATAAGAAATTCCAGCATGCATCATCAAATAATTCATGTGTATTTGTGACATCAACATAACTGAAACATTATATTATTTTCCAGTAATTATGTAAATCAATTTGATTTACAATTATATATGTCTGGGACTTATGCATGTATATATCTCACAGGCACTTGTCTCAGAAAAAAAAATCTTATATACTTTAATAAAAGTATATAGGAAAAAAATTCTAAGACAAGTGCCTGTGATATATCTGTCAGTCCCAGAATAATAAATATGATTGTATCTTAATCTTTGGAAAAATCCGATTATTAAATTGTTAAATTCTTTTACGTCATAATTATATCAAAGTATACTTTTTAAAGTTTTAAATTTTAAAGTTAAAATGAATATTCCGTTTTGATCTGAGGAAAAACTTTTTAAACTGTAATGACATGGTCAGTCAACTGATTTGTTGCCAGGCTGATTACAGGTAATTAAAGCATGCAGTAATTTTCTATTACGACAGTGCGTGTACCCTGGGGTGTGTATAACGTATTAGAAATATCATAGTTTTCTAGAGAACATCCTGTCTATGTGTAATACAGATTGATGACATTACACAAATTTTTTTTCGTTAAATGTAGTTATGTATCTGTGTCCATTCCCTATTGCAACACTACAATTCTTTCGAAGAAAAAAATGTTAAAATTTAAAAAAAAAAATCATTTATATAAAATAAAGAAGAAAAAAGTAGCAAATAAACTTATGTAACTACGCATTGAGTAAACATAATTTCACTTTACATGTACAAACCCTAGAGAAAACGTATATATAGATGTGTTTAAAAAGGCCAATTCCCAGTGGATTTATTTCACACTAGGACCACAGGCACTTGTCTCAGAATTTTGTTTCCTATATACCTTAATACAGGGACTTTCTATACTAACTTAGTATAGAAAGTCCCTGCTTAATATAACATTAAAAGTATATAGGAAATTTTTTTCTAAAACAAGTGCCTGTGACTAGGAACTAAGATAACTAGAACTAAGTTCATTTTTGTCTGATACATGTATACCTATAGATAATGTACATAATTAAGAACAGCTTCAAATATATGCCTATAAATTAACGGTACGTCTAAAAACCGCTCAGGACCTCCTGACTGCAGACAGGACATAAAAAGTCACTCAGGACATGTATATATGTTTTAGTGAGCGTTGAGGGTATACATTCGATAGATAATTTAATATTTGATCTTATAATATTGGTTTTGATAAAATCAAACCAACATAAAAGAAGTTATTTGGGATACGTCATGCATGACCGATGATCATATTCAATACCAATCATCATTTTGATTACGACGTTTGATCTTTAATAATTAGGACTGATTGGTGATGGTTATAAACACATACAAGTAAACTTTGCAAACAAACAAAAAAAAAACGTTTCCTTAGAAAAATTATAAAAATACATGAATATTGTTTTTACAAAAAAAGTTAAATAAATTTTTCGTTTTGTATGTAATAATTGAAGCCATTTAGAAATATAAGAAATCTTCACATAGTCGGGAAATTTTCAATTCAAGTTATTTCATTTGAAAACGTTAACAAATATAGATCTTATTCGATGTAAAATGTGGCGTCCTTGGAGACCAAAACCCCGTTTAAATAGGGTTTGTCTACTTTCGTCTATTGCCGAACATTCTATAATCAAGGATTTTTACAAATCCTTGCTATAATATAATGAATCGCGTCGCCAATATCACCACAATTACATAAAGTACAAATACAATCTTCTAAATATTTGGCATCTAACAATTACAATAGGAAATTTTGAGTCGAAACTGAAGTACCAAATCTACAAAAATAATCACTATTTTTTGTAGTAGTGGGCGTTGAAAACTAAACTGTTTATAATCTTTTTTTTCTCCTAAATTAATTGAAACTCCTGAAATAATTTAACATTAACTATAGACAGCTTACATATGCAAATCTATTTAGAAGTATGTGAGTGTATAGTAATAATTTGTTCATTAACCCCCCTTTTTCCTTCTATAAAATTACATTGTAATCGATTTTATTTCCAAATTTGTGCTTGCTAGGATTGACACTTAGAACGTACAACAAAAAGTAACTAGTAAAAAGTCACGATTCAGTTTTGGGATATTTTTTTCTTTGAATAAACTTAATTTTAAAAACATTTCAGTATTTTTCTGAAACATTTTTAAAAGGAAACGGACTTGTAAACAAAATTTATTTTTGAATATTAATATGAACAATGATTGTTAAGAAAACAATCTGCCAAAGTGGTTTGGTAATTAACTGAAGTCATGCTGTCAAAAATGTCTCCTTTTTATAAGTTATTGATAAAAAAAACTATTTGAAGGCGAATTAATCATTTCCTCAACTAAATACATTTATCAATAAATAAAGTCAATTCGTCAAGAACTTTCTCTCATATATTTAAACAATTGTAAAATAATTAATTTAAACCTTTTTCCTGCGACTTTCTGTCCGTTTACCAATACTTATTCCTTGTTAAGTTTTTTCATATCCATTTACGAATACTTATAACGTGATAATTATTTTTTCCGGATGCTTTTTATCCTATTTTCATATCAAACAACCATGTTACCCGTAGAACGGAGTTAAGTACAAATTTAGGAATTTAGTACTTAAAATTTTCAACAACAAAATTTTACATTTTCATTTACCTGGATTTTTTTCTACGCTTCGAAGCCGCCACCCTGTATCAAACTTATCCAACACCTCGCATGGCGTATTCACGATGTGGAGGGATTGACAATATACAATCAAAGTTAGCAATATACAGCAAGTAAGTAATTGGGTGTTGAATGACAGTAGATCTGAATTTGGAAATTTTTAAATTGAATTTAACCTGTTTAGAACGTGTACTGTATTTGTTCAATAAAATTACACACATAATATGGGCTGATATGCATAAAACCACTTTAAGTTCAAGGTATCAATGAAACTGGGTCTGCATGAAAAAATGACTTATCACATAATACCAGAACCTATGTTTAGCCTACTGTTACACAATAAGAAAATATAGCTGTAGGCCTAGTTGAAAATCTTTACAAATTATTTATTCTTTTAATTTCTGTTTGACTGTCTGGGTGCTTCTTATGTGTTTTAAATGCTATAGTCAAGTTTTATAGACTGTTGTGCGTCATTTGGTCGTTTTTAAGTTTTTGCCATGGCGTTTGTCAGTATGTCTTCGACTTATAAGCAGTTTTATCGAGGATTTGTATAGTGAGATTGCTTTTATATAATCTGCATCTCTTGTGCTGTATTTTAAAATGTATTACAATTGCTGCATCTTTACACATTCATCAATACACCAAAAAATATGAATAAAGCTTTCGTATATATATAAATAAGGAGATGTGGTACGATTGGTAATGAAACAACTATCCGCCAGTTCAATTCAAAAACCTGATATAAGCAAATGTGACTTACTTACTTACTTTAGTCAGAGAGATCTTGAATCTGAATTCAAGGATACGAAGTGGGAAGGGTTTAGAGGTAGATTAAGGTGAGGGCATGGGGGCCCGCCCCTTTTTTAGAAAAAAATTGGTTGATTATTTAGAGAATCACTGAAGCGGGCCCCCTCTTTATGCATGACAGTTAGTGCCTCCTTATGACATTTTTTGGATCCGCAACTGGTGAGGACTTCATAAATAAATATTTAGTAAGTTTTTGTTTTGTGATAAATAATGTATTTATACAGAAATAGGATAAAATAAACTACCGAAAGCTTAAGTCCACATAACAGGGTATGGATGGGGGTTAACAGAATAGAGAATAACGGGCAAACAATAAAGATTAAAGAATAATGAAATGCTAAAATATGCGGAAAGAGAGTAATGAGCCGCAAAAAGTGTAAGTTTGTAGAAATATAGCAAAACAAAAAATAAAGAACACAGAAAAAGAAGACCCCCCCCCCCCCCCCCCAGATCCTGACTTCAACTTTAACGCTGCCGGGATATTTTTTAGACAAAGTGCACGTATTAGTAGTCAGCCGAAACCACTAAGCGTTTTGCATCCATACGGTTTTTTTTTCGGGATACTGACTGCATAGTAAACTATCAATGTACTAGTTTTTGTTCTCGAGGGATGACCCTATTACAGAGACATATATACACATATGTGTAAATATGTCTCTGCCCTATTACGTGTCAGTAACCTCCTCGACACGGTTCATTTTTACGGCGGCTCAGTTTTGTCTTAAGAATGAACATAATTGATAAGTTTCTTTCCCCTGCATTTCTCGATCGCACTTGTAAATAGCACATTGGTCTCAAGACATTGGTTACAACACTTGCCGTCAGTACTCAAAATTGGAAAAATATTAAATAAGAAGGTATAGAAAATTAAATTAATGCACACACACTATTATCAACCACAGACATGATGTTTTTCTCAATTTGCCTAAATCGTTATTACGCAATACAACGAGGGTGAAAACCCACCACTTTGAACACAGTCACAGGCACCGGCATGCTGTGAACTTGTAAGTTTCCCAAATGAGTAACTATCCATTACTTTTCTAGTGTAAAGTTTTATTTAATACACATTTGATTTGAAATGGCATATCAGAGACATATATAAACATATATCATAGGCTCCTCCCTTATGAAAAGTTCTGGATCTGCCACTGTATATTCATAAAATAAACCAACAAATTATCCAAAAGATGAATAATACTTAATACTTACGACTAAGATTGATTATAAGTATACTTGAGTCGGTTTTACAAAAAAAAAAACTTACAATTTATCGTAAGTATACTGTATTGTACATGACTTAATTACTATCAATATTATTTGTAAGTTTTTTTGTGAAACTGACTGCTGAATTGTTTTTCCATGCCTATGGTACATCTAAGTCGTATGCTTTTTTTAAAACCACCTCCAGGGTATAATGTCTGCTCGCCCATAGAATCTGTTTGTAGATATAGGAAGATGTGGTATGAGTGCCAATGAGACAACTCTCCATCATTTTTGTCCATCCAAGTCACACAAATTGTTTGTACCAACAAAAATAAATACACAAAGTTAATCCAGAATTATGTGTTTATCATTTTTTTTTATGTTTAGGTTGCCAGCAAGATGAAAAGAACAATGCAGTTCAAAAGTCAAAATGTGGATAAGCTGCGGTACAAGGTCCTACTTTTGCAGATTTTCATATTTTGCATGAATGAATTTGAAGTTTATATTATGGAGGGCAGAGAAAGAAAAGAAACACTTCAGTTTTCCTGCTTCTGAAGGATAAATGTAAAACATCTTGTTTGGTAAGTTTTATGCTCTGTTATGATAGTGTTTGTGCATCCATCTGTCTTTCTCTAAATTGTATTCACTTAAAGTTTTTGGTTACAGTTCACCATGAACTTCAGTTAGTAACTTGTGGTTTTACATGTATATACTCAAAATTTAGTACTTTAAAATGTTCATGTATTTTTGTCGAGCCTGCAACTTTTGTCGCAGAAAGCTCGACATAGGGATAGTGATCCGGTGGCGGCTACGACGGTGGTGTTAGCAGTGGGGGGTCTCTTCCTATATAAAGGTATATACATATGTGCCGCTGGAATGGGTCCCTTTTTGATGCATCAAATATATCAATGGGGTGCAATTTTACCGAGGAAATATATCAATGGGTCATAATTTTTCAGTTTGTTGTGCAACGATCTTCACTTAATGGGTTATGATTTCGCTGTGAAATATATGTATAGGTAGGGATTTCACAATTATTCAATATATGAATGGGGGTTGTTTTTTAAATTCCAGCTGCACAACTGTACCCAAAATCCCATGTTGAGACCCCCCCCCCCCCGTGGGCGTTAGCTAACTTCCTAAAAGCTTTATATTTTAGAAGGTGGAAGACCTGGATGCTTCATACTTTGTATATAGATGGCTCATGATACTCATTCTGTCTGAAACATGTCCATTGTCCTTGACCTCATTTTCATGGTTCAGTGACTATTTGAAAAAAAAGTTCAGATTTTTTGTAATGTTAATTTCTCTCATATTATGAGTAATAGGATAACTATATTTAGTATGTGCGTACCTTGCAAGGTCCTCATGCTCGTCAGAGAGTTTTCACTTGACCTAGACCTCATTTCATGGATCAGTGAACAAGAACTTAGTCTTAGATGCATGATTTTTTTTATTAGTTGTTAGTGGCTTTGTACTAGCTGTCAGTAACTGCGAGTACTCTCAGATCTGTACTTAGTGTCTTTTTGTTGTTTGGATGTACAAGTACCCGGCCACGTCCACTTGTATTTGTAGTATTTGTATTTTTATCCATCTGATGAGTTAAGCCTCTTTCAACTGATTTTTATACGACTGCAAAAAAATTTTGCGGCCGTATATTGGTATGACGTTGGCGTCGTCGTCGTTGTCCGAAGATACATTGGTTTTCGCACTCTAACTTTAGTTGAAGTGAATGGATCTCTATGGAATTTTACCATAAGGTTCAATACCACAAAAGAAAGGTTGGGATTGATTTTGGGGGTTATGGTACCAACAGTTAAGGAATTAGGGGCCAAAAAGGGGCCAAAAATAAGCATTTTTGTAACTTCCAGACATAACTTGTGTGTTAGTGTATGGATCTCTCTGACATTGTACCACAAGGTTCCATATCACAAACGGAATGCTGGGATTGATTTTGGGGGTAATTGCCTCAAAATTTTAGGAATTAGGGGCCAAAAAAGGGGCAAAAAACAAGCATTTTTCTAGTTTCATGACAATAACTTGTGTGTAAGTGTATGGATCTTTCTGAAATTGTACTACAAGGTTCCATATCACAAAGAGAAAGCTGGAATTGAGTTTGGGGGTAATTGCCCAAAACGTTTTGGAAAAAGGGGCCAAAAATAAGCATTTTTCTAGTTTCCAGACAATAACTTGTGTTCAAGTGTATGGATCTCTCTGAAATTGTACTGCAAGGAACCATACCTCTAAGGGAAGGCTGGGATTGATTTTGGGGTAATTGCCTTAAAATTTTAGGAATTAGTGGCCAAAAAGGGGCAAAAAACAAGCATTTTTCTAGTTTCCGGACAATAACTTGTGTGCAAGTGTATGGATCTTTATGAAATTGTACTACAAGGTTCCATATCACAAAGGGAAAGCTGGGTTTGAGTTTGGGGATAATTGCCGTAAACGTTTAGGAATTTGGGGCCCAAAAGGGACAAAAAAACAAGCATTTTTCTAGTTTCCAGACAATAACTTGTGTTCAAGTGTATGAATCTCTCTGAAATTGTACTGCAAGGTACCATACCACAAAGGGAAGGCTGTTATTGAGTTTTGGGGTGATGAATCATAAGGGGGTTCAAAAAATTTGGGGGGGGATTTTTTTTTCCTTTTTTTTCTTTAAAATTTTCCATTTTAAGGTAGATAGGGTGTCTTCCTCCATCTTGGATTTTGAAATACCAGAAAACAATCGGTCTAGATCTTTAATACAAGGTGCAAATTTTGAGAGTAGTAGGTAATTCATGTGTAAGAATTTTCATTTCTATATAGAAAATGACATATTTCATCATATTTATGGTTGAATTTTACAAAAAAACAGAATACTTTTGTTTGATTCTATTTTTTCCAACTTTGCCACATAAGGGGAGGCAACTCAAATGTAAGGGCAGATAATTCAGATAAAGTTACTTTTACAATAGAATGTGTTAGGAATTTACCTATTTTATTATGTAGCAAGAAACAGGTCCCGTGACCCCTTTTTTTCTTTTTCTTATCTGAAAGCATACTATTATATTAGAGCTATCTTCTCATATTTTATCTCAAAATTCTATGGTGTAGTTTTCGTTTTATGGCAGAAAATTGGGTTTTCCATGCATTATCTATACAAAATCTGTCAATTTTGCACAACCTATAGTGTGAAAATAAGCCCCGTGACCCATTCTTTTTATTATTATTTTTTAAAAAGCATGATATAAACTACATTTTGGCAAATTATTAAAAAATTCTATGGATTATAATTAAGACACCCCATCTACCTTAAATTGGTTAATTCTGATTTATATATAAAAGCAAATAATAATGATATGGTTTGAATAGATAAATTAAATTTTTTTAAGTTCTTAGACCACATTCATTCTGTGTCAGAAACCTATGCTGTGTCAAATATTTAATCACAATCCAAATTCAGAGCTGTATCAAGCTTGAATGTTGTGTCCATACTTGCCCCAACTGTTCAGGGTTCGACCTCTGTGGTCGTATCAAGCTGAGCCCCAACGGAGCATTTTATTATTGTTCGTTCTTATGTTGTACTGTTACACCACTGTCCCAGGTTAGGGGAAGGGTTTAGATCCCGCTAACATGTTTAACCCCGCCACATTCTGTATGTATGTGCCTGTCCCAAGTCAGGAGCCTGTAATTCAGTGGTTGTTGTTTGTTTATGTGTTACATATTTGTTTTTCGTTCATTTTTTGTACATAAATTAGGCCGTTAGTTTTTCGTTTGAATTGTTTTACATTGTCATTTCAGGGCCTTTTATAGCTGACTGCGGGGTATGGGCTTTGCTCATTGTTAAAGGCCGTACGGTGACCTATAGTTGTTAATTTCTGTGTCATTTGGTCTCTTGTGGAGAGTTGTTGTCTCATTGGCAATCATACCACATCTTCTTTTTTATATTTAAGGTTAAGTTTTGGTGGTCAAGTCCATATCTCAGATACTATAAGCAATAGGTCTAGTATATTGGGTGTATGGAAGGACTGTAAGGTGTACATGACCAACTGGCAGGTGTCATCTGACCTTGACCTCATTTTCATGGTTCAGTGGTTATAGTTAAGTTTTTGTGTTTTGGTCTGTTTTTCTTATACTGTATGCAATAGGTCTACTATATTTGGTGTATGGAATGATTGTAAGGTGTACATGTCTAGCTGGCAGGTGTCATCTGACCATGACCTCATTTTCATGGTTCAGTAGTCAAAGTTAAATTTTTGAGTTTTGGTCTTTTTTTCTAATACTAAATGCAATAGTCAACTATATTTGGTGTATGGAAACATTTTATGATGTACATGTCAGTCCCGCAGGTTTAATTTGACCTTGACCTTATTTTCACGGTTCATTGCTCAGTGTTACGTTTTTGTGTTTTGGTCTGTTTTTCTTAATCTATAAGCAATAGGTCAACTATATGTGTTGTATGGAAGGATTGTAAGCTGTACATGTCTGCCTGGCATGGTTCATCTGATCTTCACCTCATTTCCATGGTTCATTGGTCAATGTTTAGTTTTCTTGGTTAAGTCTGCTTCTTAGAAACTATAAGCAATACCCGTAGGTCAACTGTATTTAGTAATTTGAATGATTATAAGGTGTACATATATTTCTTGTCAGGTTTATATGACCTTGAATTCATTTTTCTTGGATCATGTTGAGTTTATGTGATAGTTGTAGTAAAGCTTTATATTTAGGACTATCAACATGATATCAATGATTAGTAAAGAAGGCGCAACATTTCAGCGTGTGCACTCTTGTGTATACATTAAACACCACATTTACTGTTTTTACCCTGATTTTATGGATCACTGAATATAGATATGTCATAATGTGAAATTATAGTACATTCTTAGGTTAAAGTTTTAGGTTAAGGTACATAGTTGTTGAAGTTGAATTTCATACACATGTTCATTATGTGGTGAATTTTTAAATTCAGTGCCAAACTAAGATTTTGAGCCTGATTACATGATTGACTAGACATTGACACATGCTAGTGTTTGCCAGGCATTGTGTCCTGTACTAAGAACTTTAATAGTACTCGCTGAGTTTGGAGTTTTTGTGAAAGTTTAATATTAGTGAGATTTTTGCATGACATCCTGTCAACTGCTTGTTGATCATGTTTATACATGTCTTAAAATTAATATCCAACACATTGTTGTTTTTTTGACCTTTGAAATAAGTTATTTGATAGAATAATAATGTTTTGAGATTATCAAAATAAAAAATATCCCATTTTTACTACATTGTGTATTAATGATTAAGTATATAAAAAAGAAGATTTAGGATATATGTATAACCATATATAAAAATGAGACAGCAACCGAACAACACAAAAATAAGAAAAAAAAACAATATAATTTTTTGTATCAATGTTATAATTTCCAACATGTCCAAAGAGTTCAATGTATTTTCTAATTGAAATAAAACACAAGTGGAACTCTTTCAGAACTTCAGAAGCTTAAAGAAGTGCTGTTTCTATTGTTGGCTTTCTGTATAATATATTGCAAATTCTTGTGAAAAATGGAATTTTATTGTAATTGCCTAAAGTTTTAACATTGATCTATATATATATAACTGGGGAAAATACCCAAATGTTATAAAGAAGAATACATAAATTGATTGTTATATAATATTAGAATAGGAAGATGTGGTATATTGCTAATTTGACAACTCTCCATCAGAGACCAAAGGATGTAGGAGGTTAGCAACTGATGACACTGGACAACCTTCAACAATCAGTAAAATCCATACCGCATAGCTATTTTTATTGAAAATCATATGTTCTTGCTACATGTATGCAAACAATTTTTTATTATCCATAACTTCAGATTTTAATGGTTCTTTTTCAGAAGGATTGAAATTCATCACTGAGAATAAAAGGAGAAAACACAGAAACAAGACCAAAATAAATTCAAAGACAAAAGTCAGATCAGTTATTATTTTCATCACTCAGCCAATGAATTGAAGTTCTATTAAATATCTAAAGATATTAAAACCACAATAATGACAATGTTCTGTGCTGAATGGCAAAAAAGTGGACTATACATAACGACCACACAATGCTGGATGATGAGAAACTATTTATTTTTTGGGTGGAGGGATATCCTGAAAAAAAAAATAGATTTATGTAAAAAGCTACTAGTATGTTAAGCCTATTAATAGAGTTTTCATTGAATTCAAATGGGAAAAAATTGTGTTTCAAAAAAGTATTCTAGAATTCATAAATAAACATATATTGATACTTACATTATCTGCTTTGTTGTTTAAAAGTTTAGTTTTGAACAGTTATAGAACAATATAATTGCATTAACATTTCAAAGGAAAAAAAAGGTATTCAACTAAAAAGATTCATCTTAAAACAATTTACTACCAAACAGAATTCATTGTAACATACACATTTATTTACTGTATATTTATAATTTGAATCATAGGATTTTATTTTGTCCCATGGGATATTAAAAATCCCATGGGATAATTATAGTCCCATGGGATTTTTTTTGTCCCATGGGACAACAAATATCCCATGGGACTACAATTATCCCATGGGACCCAAAAAAATCCTATGGGATTTAACCAAAATCCCATGGGATAATGGTCAATCCCATGGGATTTGCCCTATCCCATGGGATATTGAAAATCCCATGTTTTTCTAAATCAAATTACAAAATATATATAATAATAACAGCAGAAAAGCAATGAAATTATTGAATCCCATGTAATTCCGCACATTTTGGTTATTTACACGACACTGTAGGTCTAAGGAGAGGCGGCGGCGGATTTGCAAATGAGTGTTTTGCAAATTAAAAGTGTCCAGTGTTTGTTGTTTGTCTTACGGTCGCATTTTTTTTTGCAATGGCGTTGTCAGTTTGTATTCGACTTATGAGTTTGAATGTGCCTTTCAGTTTTGTATCTTTCGCTTCTCTTATATCGGACTGTGAAGTAACAACCCTTATTCATAACGAAAATAAGATTTACCACACCCGCCTCAAGAAGGAAATATTCTAGATATGAAGATATTTAAATTTAAATGACGGTTTTATATTTTCATGGTTGCTTAATTATTGCCTTTTTGAAAAGATTTTTATGATAATTGTACAGTGTTGCAGAACCATTAACAAAACATATAAGTCTTCGCAATGACAACTTTTATGTATACCTAGAGCACATTAATGGGTATCTTTGCTTATAAAGACCTATAAATATAACACATGATTACACCAGAAAAATGAAATATACTAAATAAGTTCACACCACATTAGCTAAAAGTACGTGCAAAAACTACGTATCATAAGGATATACGTGTAACATTTGGAAAAACTACAAATGAAGAAGGCATAGGTGAATGCAATATTAATAAATGATAAATTAATAACTTATTAATTCAGTGGTTGTCGTTTGTTGCTGTATATCATATTTTTTTTCGTTCATTATTTTTTACATAAATCAAGCCATTAGTTTTCTCGTTTGAATTGTTTTACATTTGTCATTTCGGGGCCTTTTATAGCTGACTATGCGGTATGGGTTTTACTCATTGTTGAAGGCCGTACGGTGACCTATAGTTGTTAATTTCTGTGCTATTTAGTCTCTTGTGGAGAGTTGTCTCATTGGCAATCATACCACATCTTCTTATTTTTATATGTACCACATCTTCGTATTTCTATACTAACATTTTTTTTATATTATTCTTCAAGCTCATTGTACATGAAATCTCCATCCCCTTGTCAACGTGACATTTTGCAGAGTTTTATGTAGTGTTTTTAATTGGAAATAATTTCATAATGCTATAAACGCGGCTAAAGGGTTACAAGCCGATGATACATATTACGACACACTCAAACCTGCTGTCCTAAGTCAGGAGCCTGTTGTTCAGTGGTTGTCGTTTGTTGATGTGGTTCATAAGTGTTTCTCGTTTTTTTACATAGATTAGACCGTTGGTTTTCCTGTTTGAATTGTTTTACACTAGTCTTTTTTGGGGCCCTTTATAGCTTGCTGTTCGGTTTGAGCCAAGGCTCTGTGTTGAAGGCCGTACTTTGACCTATAATTGTTTACTTTTTACACATTGTGACTTGGATGGAGAGTTGTCTTATTGGCACTCATACCACATCTTCTTATTTCTATTAAGGTCACCTCTATCAAGCGAAAACCGGGTCTTGTAAGGCCACCATCATCTTGTCTCGCTGTAGTAATACTTTAAAAACTTAATTCAATTGTCATCTCTCTTATAAAGTCACTTTTCTCTTGTCCCAAGAGTGACCTTAATTTACATGTTTGACTGTATCTTTATATGACGATACTATTGTAAGACGTCATGATGATAAGTGTTTGACCTGAAGGTCTATGGTCAATATATCGTCATAATGTAACATAAAACGACTTCATTGGGGATTGATATCAGCCAAAGGCATAGTGATATTGGTATCACACTCGTGCGAGCTCATATAGGATATACCGGGTGTGTGCATTGATGAGAAAGCAACTAGCGATGGAATAAAACTAACAAAAAAGACATTTCGTTTTCTGATTTCTGCCACCGTTTGTCTGATTTCTAGGTTGGAAGGGAATATAGGTTTTACGGAGCACCTGATGTCCCCATGCTTTAGGTTGAGTTCGTATTACTCAATCTTTAGTTTGTAGTGTTTTGTAGAATTTTTTTTGTCTTTTCGTCGATTTTCGGTTTCCTCAGTTTTTCAGTCTCTCTTCGACTTTCAAGTTTTTATTCTTCTTCTAGCATCTTCCGTTACTTATTTTGGTGGAAAATACTTAAGAAATACAAGGTTTTTTTAGGTACATGTAATAACTTTCTCTATAAATTGCAGGTAAAAAATCAGGAACGTTGCAAGGAACAGTCAAAAGCCATAAATTATAGAAAGAAAAAACAACACTATGATAAAAAAAAATACTTATCTCACTTAAAAAGATATGACAAAAGCATTATCCAAATAGATATTTTAAACTCATTTACATCTTTGTAAAATACATCTTGTTGGAAAATACTTTTTTAGGTAAAGCCTTGGTTCATAACTAAATATTAATGACAAGATCTTAGATGTGTCTATCGGGGCAGGTTTTACAATTTTACACTAAATGTAAAATGCAAAAATGTAAAACAAAATTCAAGAATAGAAATACTGATGTCTAATGTCGTATGAACATCTGAAAAAGAGAAACGAAAGATACAAAAGGGAAATTCAAACTCATAAATTGAAAAAAAAACTGACAATGCCATGGCAAAAAAAGTAGAAACAATCAAAAGACAACATAGAAAACTAGACTGAACAACACGAACCCCACCAAAAACCGGGTTCATCTCAGGTGCTCCGGAAGGGTATTGAAAGGTTGTTTTTTTGTAGATATATAATACCCGTTGTTCAGGGTAATATAGGACTTTGTGCGGAGCTCATTGAAATCATATAAATACGCTTTCATCCGAAAATGTAATTTCGAAATTCATTTAATATTATTGTGACAAGATATATTTAGAGGTACCTTTTTTTATTTTCAGACATTCCAGAGACTACGAAACATTGCCAGACCATTTTTATTTTACCGATTATGAGCGACATAATGCCGAAATAGCCGCGTTTCATTTAGACAAGTAAGTTATATTTTTGAACTAGTCTTTCTGTTTCAGTATCACCTGTAGTTGTTTGCATTTTTGATAAGTGACCTTCGGTAATTTGTTTTCTCGTTGGCAGTTATGCCAAAGTACCTTATTTGTATTATGAGAAATATAAAATATTAAAAGGTTTAAACAAAAATACCGAACCCCAAGGTAAATTAAGAAAAGGGGAAATTCCACAAAACCTGAAAAAAATCAAACGTTTGACTATATCAACCAACGGAACGTAACTCTTGTAGGGAACGCATTGGAAATGATAGTAAACATGCGTATATTCAGCACTACATTAGTGTGTATGAAGTGGTGCATATATGTGTATAACGTTTTACAGGATATGAAAAGAGAGGCGAAGGATACCAACGGGACATTCAAACTCATAAGTCGAAAATAAACTAACAACGCCATGGCTAAAAAAGAAAAAGACAAACAGACAAACAGACAAACGACAGTACACAAAACACAACATAGAAAACCAAAGACTGAGCAAGACGAACCCAACCAAAACGGCGAAAAGAGGACGGGATTGTAGTTACGACAATTGGAACATATCCGTTGCCATCTGTGAAATGAGGCTTAATACAACGCTATAAATTCGATACACTATTTTTGTGATTAATAACGGAAACTTAAAGAAGCAGCTGAAGCATAAATGTCAAGCAAGAGCTAAAAAAGGGGGCGAGGATACCAAAGGAACATTCAAACCTAACAAGTGGACGAAAAGCTGACAACGCCATGGCTAAAAAGAAAAAGAAAAAAAAGAAGAAAAAACACAAAGACGAACAAATCGACAGAACCTACAACGACTCGGATAACTGAAGATTTAGCAACATAAACCCCCACCAAAAGCCGGGTGTGAACTCAGGTGCTTCGGAAGGGAAAGCAGTTTTTGCTCAAGTTACAAATCGGCCACAACAACATGTACAGCATGCTATTGCGTATTAGTTATACACTGACACGAATATAACCAGGTTATTGCTTGAACTTAATGCAAAAATTAGGATTTTCATGATTGTCGCAATACATCAAATAATTTTAACTTGTAGTTGCATAGAAAAATGTAACGAAAATGTATATGTGCATTTTATCTTGATGATATAAAATTTTGACATACACAAATAAGATTATAAAAAAACTTACAACATGTCACATGCTAGCATGGCTTAACCAGATAAAACTTGGTTTTATCTATCATTGTACATTACATCTTAAAGAAATACATTGTCGACAAACGCAAAGTATAGCATTTAAGAAACGAAAAGTGCCACGTTGTATAGCGTAAGTTAACCAATTGAAGCTTGGTGCCATATCTAAAGAAGCTATAATTTGTATTTGCTTAGAGAAAATAAGACGGGAATATGTCACGGACAGACGGACAAACGGGTTGATTAAGGTAAATCAGTATACTTGTTGTGCTGAATCTGGATTCGCCTCATGGTTGATACATGAATTGCAGGAGAAATACCAATTAACAAATAAAATCTCACATACTAATACACCATTGATATATTTACGCATTTTCCGTCTAGTAAAGAAATAACTTGTATATTAAATACGTACTTAGTCTAGACGGGAAATGCATAAATTTATTAAATACAAAAATATTAAAATATACTGAAAAAAACCCAAATAAAACACGAGATGAAAAGAAACGTTAACTATTTTGAACAAACCTAACACAAGATCGTGCAAATAAGACTTCATTAAACACTCTTAAAAATCTAAAAAAAACAAAATTTTTTAAAACAAACCACATTACAATTTGATAACGTAAGCAACATATATTAGTTACAAAGATGGCAAGCAGGATATAATTTTAGGGAAATTTTCAGTTTTTAACATAACTACATTGTTTTTACACATCTTGTACCAGCTTGTATGATGGACAGTGTTATACTTCTATTTTCTTATAAAGTACGATACAAAAATGAATTGTGTTTGTGTGTCCAATTTGTCATCTTTAAAAGTGGCATTGACTACATTTCGTAGCCGGAACACCAGGAAGTAAAATGACTATTAAAGTGACACCTGATTAAATGAGATAAAATTTTCCCGTTTATCCCCACGACTTAGATTTTATATAGTACCATTCTAATCTAGTTGGTGTTGTCTACATTTTTCTTTTACCACAAATGTAAAAAGAAATCCATCATCTATGCATAATAAATTTCTGTGAAACTGACATTTAACACGTAGTCAGTGTAGCTCAGACATGATTTATAACAAACTTTTAAAAAATTGTCCGTTTATAAATTTATGATTTAGTAGGAAACTAAGGTATCAACTCCCTCAAGGAAAACTGATCTTGGATGAATTTGACTAATATTTGTATGTGCGTTTTGGTCATCTGGTCATAAAGCTCTTCAACCGTTTCGGTTATTATACATCATTAGCTTTCACACATTCGGCATTGGTCGTTCCTGATGAAAGCAAATCCAGAAAAGCCTTTCGGACGCCTGAAATTTATAAAATGTTGTTTTCATTTTTTAAAGAACCAACTTTACTTTGTAGCATAAATAATAATAAAAGACCAAAGAATATGTTGTAAATCGAGAGAAATAGTTAAAAAATTAAGGAAATTATTTCGTGTAACTTCATTGCAGTGTAATTAACACATCGTGTACCATCCTGCAGCTACAAAAAAAAAATGTAGGACTAATAGATAAAATGTATTAGTCCAACCTACAGTTTTTACTTTTTTACGGATGTAAAAAAATGTAGTTCGGGCATGTGCACTTTTAAAGTAATTTGTGATTGACTATATTCCGTAGCCTAAGCGATAAGACAAATGACAAAGGAACATCAGGTTTAAGGAGTTAATTATTTCATCATGTTAATTACCAGATCACTCGTATGTTCATAATACTAATGAAGTTGTAAAATATCACTCAGTAGATGTCCCTTTCCATGACATTTATTAGACAACTTTTATATTATTTATCATTTTTTGAACGACGTGTGATTATATTATGTATTTTATGACGATAAATAAATAAAAAAAAAATGCTTTCATAATGAGACTTTTATGGCAATAAACAAAAATAGCTTTTGTTTGCAGTTTTTAATTTACTGACTGACATGAAATTATTGATATAACATCGACAATTAGTATGGAAGTGATGATCTGTAAAACATTAAGATGGTACAATAATTTAGTAGCATTTTATTTCTTATAACATCGAAATTAAATATTGATTTAAACCCTGCTCACATATATGACTTAAAATTAAGTAAAATTGATGTTATTAAAAAGACGATAGGGGAACTTTGATACACTTAAATGATTTAAATAGCTCATTATAACGCAAACGATCAGGATATCAGAGTTGTCTACCTTTTACAAAAAAGGCATTTCATTGCACAAGGTCATGTTTTTCTCTGACTGTTAATGACATCTTTACACTACATCCGTTTGATTGATATTTTAGCTAAGATACATTATTGTTTTTATTAGTTATTATTGGCTTTGAACTAGGTTTCAGTTGCTGCGAGTACTCTCAGATCTGGACTTTGTGTAGTTTATGCTTTTTTTAGATTTGTGTGTGATTTGTATCGATCTGATGAGTTGAGGCCTCTTCAACTGATTTGTACAGTTTGTTCTTATGTTTTACAGTTACACCACTGTCCCAGGTTAGGGGGAAGATTGGCGCCAGCAAACAGGTTCAACCCCGCCGCATTCTGTTTGTGCCTGTCCCAAATCAGGGACCTGTAATTCAGTGATTTTCGTTTGTTGCTGTATATCATGTTTGTTTTTCGTTCATTGTTTTAGACAGAAATCAGGCCGTCAGTTTTCTCGTTTGAATTGTTTTACATTTGTCCTTTGGGGTCTTTTATAACTTACTATGCGGTATGGGTTTATCGCATTATTGAAGGCTGTACGGTGACCTGTAGTTGTTAACTTCAACATCACTTGGTCTATAGTGGATAGCTGGCAATCATTCCACATCGTCTTATTTTTATAATACTTTACGTTACTCTCTGTAAATCGAAGACCCGGAAACCACTAACACATAGACAAAGCCGTACACTTCTTAACGCCCTTTCTTCTTCATGATTTATCTTAGTTTTAAACCTCAACAAAAAGTCATTTAACTTGTGCAAAAAATGCAATTTTGTAAGAAATTATCCAAAAGAAGGAAGGGCATTAAGAAGTCAAATTATAATATAAAAAACGAATTTACAGAGATATGATTTCAACTTCGCCGGTACGCTAAAGTCAAATTGAGAATATCCACTTATCATTTTAATTGCTTACATGTATTTGTCATATATTTTTTAAAGCACCATTTTAGAATTGATATACATGTCACGTTTAACACCTTTGCTATATTTAGCTCTTGCGTATTCAGGAAACACATTTTAAAACCTAAGAAATGTCATGACCGTATTTTTTGAATTGTAAACAGTAAACTTGCATATCATGTTAATATATTACTTAAAATGCATGAATTATGCGTACTCCTAATTGTCAACGCCTTATTGTTTTCTTTGAATTGTCGGCGCCATTGTTTTCATGGAATACAGACCAGATATATGAGGGTGTGGATGGGGGTCCCTCATTTCTGTATTCTTTAATTTACGGGGCATTTTTCTTTATCTTTAAAAAATAACGCTTATTATGGCCTCGCCTAGTGGCGGGTCGCCCTATAGTAATCAGTCTGTCCGTCCGTCCGTAACAAATTTTGTCCGCTCTATATCTAGAGAACCGTTATAATTTCATACTTTATACTTGCCATGTATATTAACCAACACCAGAGGGTGTGCCATAATGTTTGTACAACTTCCTAGGTCAAAGTTCAAGGTCAGCGGGGCCCACAGAGGTGGCTCCAATCTCAATGTTGTCTTTTTCTGTACAATTCTCGTGAAAATTATTTTACTATTCGATTTATCTGGTATTGCACAATTTCTTTATCCTTTATACTCTTGCACCCCATTATTCTTTATACTCTTGCACCCCATTATTCTTTATACTTTTGCACCCAATTATCCTTTATACTCTTGCACCCCATTATTCTTTATACTCTTGCACCCCATTATTCTTTATACTTTTGCACCCAATTATCCTTTATACTCTTGCACCCCATTATTCTTTATACTCTTGCACCCCATTATTCTTTATACTCTTGCACCCTATTATTCTTTATACTCTTGCACCCCATTATCCTTTATACTCTTGCACCCCATTATTCTTTATACTTTTGCGCCCCATTTTTCTCTATTCTTCATTGTTTTGTTCATTTTTCTCTATTCATTAATTCATTTGGTCATTATTCTACATTCTGTTAACCCCACCTAGACCCTTATACATTTAGATCATTATTTGATAGATGATTCCTCCACTGACTAGAGACTCAATGTGTGACGCTATCAAGTATATATTTCCACTTGTTTGTTACTATCATTTATATTCGTTTATTATGACACGAAAACTGGCCATGGTCTGGCTACGTTATAATAGATAGAAAACTCCCGGTGTTGTATTTTGCAGACTGTTGATTGTCATTTCATCGTTCTTCTTTTTAGTTAAGGTTTTGTCTGTTTTCTTCGACTTTTGATTATTGATTGTCCCTTTGGTATATTCTGCCTTCTTTCTGCTTCCTAATTCAGGAAAAATTCTGTTCATCAATACTTTTTTTTATCAAAATAAAGAAAGGAAAAACATATGGCTATCCTGCACTTATCAATGGTATTACACCAATAACTATAGGATACAACATTCAAGTTACTTGTTCACCCCTGTAATACTGGTGTCCTCTACCAGCCGAACTCAAAACCAAGGATCTATGAACAAGGCATTTATACGCAACGTTTATTTTTCTTACGTTTATGTCACAAAAATGATGTTTTTACTTATATTTACAATGTTTACAACTACAATAAACATTTTTGTACTAATTAACGATAAATATGAAAGAATATTTACAGTTATCAATTATAAAATTATTATGCCTCTATTCACTATAAACATGATAAAAACATGTTTGGATACCAATCTCAAAATACGCCATTACACTGATTTCCCAAAGTGGGGATGTCAAATACGTCTATTAATACTTGAATAAACATAAAACTATATTTAAACCGTAACATATTCAAGAATGCATCAAACCTAAATTGATCTAAACAATTTAATTATATAGATAAATAGATACTTTATTCTCTAGAAACTAAATACAAGTTTACAGAGAAAGTACAATATAAATACAAATACAATAGTTGAGGGTAAACAAATACAGTACGATAAAGTAAAATGAAGTACAACTTTATGAAGACATACCAATTGAAACCTAATACTTTTGTCTTCTGAGAGTAGCTATAAAACATCCTCCATTGAAACATATTTACAGATAATAATAATATTGTGTTTATAGTTATTGTCACGCTTATCAAAAAGGGTTGTGAAAAGAAAGGACTGTACACGATTGACGGTTTAAGCATAAATAAACTCATCATAGATACCAGGATTAAAAGTTTGTACGTCAGAGGCACGTTTCGTCTACAAAAGACTCATCAGTGAAGCTCGAATCAAAAATGTTGAACAGGCCAAATAAAGTACGAAGTTGAAGAGCATTGAGGACCTGCATAGTAAGCGAAACATTTACATTCACGTAAAAGCCTGGAGTATTTTATATTCCTGACAACTTTAAAAATATGACTCACTTTTTGTCCGTCCGAAACAAACGGTTTCCAGGTTATAATTTCAGTTCGATTTGGGGTAGTACCTTTTAACCCCTCAACACTTCTACCATTTATAAAATGGATGTCAGGTTTGTTTTTACAGCTTCCAGAGTTACTTCACTCATTATTTTCTCCAAATTGTAAATACGTATTCAGGATGATAGATAGAGTTTGAATTTGAGCGATTTCGGGATGAATTTAAGTTTTAGTATCTTTGCTACCTACCATATAGTGCAGGTTTTGTTATATTGTGCACTTTTGCGAAATTGTTTTTTTTTATTCCTCACTGAGAACCGTGTCCTTAAATTGTATTATAATGATAAAAAAAAATCCAAATTATAACCTTCTTTTAGCTAGAATCTCATATGCCTTCCCGATTGTACTTTTAAAATACTGTAAATTCAGAAATTATTACCTGCATTTATTATTGCGATTTTTGAAAAAAGAACACACATGCGAGATTTATTATTATGATTTCAGGAAAATCTGCATGCAAATATATGTATCAGATATCAGAATGCGAGTTCTTATTATTGCGATTCTAACCCAGTTGCATCATTCGAAATAATAAAAACCTCGCAATAAATTCTGAATTTACAATAATCATAGTGCATGAGATAAATCAATAAAGTCTAATTACTTTTTGTTTTACAAATACATTTAATTCTTTCAGAGTTTTAGGATTTTATAGAGTCCCACCAACTGCTGGAAGAAAAGTGAACATGACATATGATATTAAAAGACTAGCAGATCACAAATTAGCAAAAACATTCTTCAAATCTCCAGGTAACTAAAATTTCTTACATAGCATGCATATGTAGCATATCTGTGAAATACTCAAACAAAGTCTACACATAGTGTGTTGAAAGTTTGTTAGTTTACGATTGCTTCAAGATACATAAACATTATATTATACATTGATGTCGCTATTGGACATAGAAATGATATCAGTGTTCCTGTTGCTCAATCATTATTCTTCTCTTTAGAATAATTGGGATTGTAATTTGACTTTCTTCGTTATTATTTAAATGGCCCATTAGTATTAAATATTTTTCAATGTGTGCTCGGTGGCCCATACCTTTATAATATTTTTAAAAATAGCACTTTCTAAACTTAATTTTTTGAAAATGATGTACAAAGCGTATTGTTTTTAATTTAGGACCCCCTATCATCATTGTACCTTTACACAGCTGTTACCGTAATGTCATCGTGTTTTAAAATAAAAACATCATAAAAGGAAGATATCATAATTTTTGTTTGTATTTCCGTATAAAGCCATTTTTCAAATGTCTAAAATAGAAAGATGAAATGATAGATATCACGATGATTTATAACAAGGAAACATAATTTGTTTTATTATCTTACAATTGACATGTTTATGTGAATTTCATAATGTATTAATTTTTATATGACGTATATTTAAATTAATAAATACTTACTCTGAATTTGATACTATGAAAAGTTTGAAACAATAGCTTGTAAACTATAAAAGCTAATCAATCTTTTTTTTAATCAAATCTTGTTATTGTCTAAGAAATTGAAATAATTCGGCTTTGAATTTAATGCACAATATGGGTATTTTGACGAGTGACGAATTGCTGAATGTATAACCATGCCCAGCTAAGGAATCAGCGTATGGCAAATAAATGATCTGCCCACTATGTATTTAACTGTTTAAAGATTATATTGCAATAAACTTTAGAAAAAAAAACAACAAACAACTTAGAATTTGAAATTGTTTTCCCGTTCATTTGAAAAGGCTGCTAATCGAGTTTTGTTAGTAACATATCAGTTTTAAGTTATACTCATGTGAAAGAGTTTAAATATTTTATCTTTTGAAATGATGTATTTTTCATCTTTAGCCAACAACGTTTGCTTTCATGGCGCCTGCTCCTACTACTGTGATACAAGCCATGCTATTTGTGGAAATCCAGACATGTTAGAAGGTTCCTTCGCTACATTCCTCCCTCCTGAAAAAATTGCTGCCAGGAAAACATGGCGGAATCCATGGAAACGGTCCTATAGTAAACACAGAAAGGCTTACTGGGAAGCTTATGATGATCTTTGTGAAAAGGTCAAACAACGTGCACCATATAATAAAGGGCGACGGCTTCTTGATCTCATAGATATGCATATTTTTGATTTTTTTCAAGGTAAAGTATATATTCACAGTATTTATATCCCTATCTGATAAACATATAGATCCTGTTTACGCTTAGCTTGCTAATATTTGACAATGCTCTGTTTAAATTTCTGTTCTGAAGATCATTTTAGGGGCCACGGGAGTTTTCGTCGATACATTCCTTAAAAGAATTAGATTAGAAATTTGGATGATGTCGAATATGATTATATTGATATACAGAATGTAGATTGGAGCGTTTTCTGACCCTTTAAAGGCTTGAAGCGATGCTAGGACAGGGTATTTCAATCAGATTGCATATACCCCTTCATTTCCATGTAGAGTGATTAAATAAAAAATATAAAAAAAAAAGTAACCCATTATTTTATTTATCATTATATTCTATTTCTTGTCTTGTGTAGACGAAAAGCACGTTTGTCGCTCTAAATTATAAGCCTGGAAGTATTGATGAGTTTGGTTTTTTCTTTTTAGATATAACCGCATTCACTGTTCGTTTTAACTTCATTTTCAGGAAATATGGATAGACATCATTATGAAACAATAAAAGATTTTGGCAATAATACATTCCATTTGCATTTAGACAATGGTAGAGGGTACGTATATTTTATTTATAGAATTGATACATAAATTGAAATAGACATGTATAAAAAGTAAAATAACAAAAAATACCGAACTCCAATGAAAATTCAAATCAAAAGCTCAAACACATCAAACGAATGGAAAACAACTCTCATATTCCTGACTTGGTACAGGCATTTCCTTGTGTAGAAAATTGTGGAGTAAACCTGGTTTTATTGCTAGATAAACATCTATTTTGTATGACAGTCGCATAAAATTCCATTATACTGACAATAATGTGTGAACAAAACAAACAGACATAATAGATAAAAATGTCAAAAATAGGGGTACAGCAGTCAGCATTGTGTTATAATCTTAATCACTATAAAAACAAACAAACATGTCAACAAAGAAAAACAAAATGACATATAGACAAAGCACATAAGCAAAAATGAAAGACAAGAATACCAAAAAATGGCCATAGCACAATAACACAATGGCGGGATGTAACAGTACTGAGCCTAGCCAAAAGGATATTATCCAAACTGGACTAAACAGTAAAGGTTAATAAAAGGAGACGTTGGGTATACGTCATTTGGACAGCACAACGAAAACCCTTAAAAAACCGTGGGTGATACTATCAAAAGTCTGCGACCAAAGCCGAATTTTATACCTAAAAACCTTTAAAACTCAAAATAAAGTTATCACAAAAGACAGCAACCGAAAATATAGCTGACTTGGGAAAACAGATGAATATCATACAAATGAGGGGATGTGGTTTGATTGCCAATAAAATTTATATCCACAAGAGACCAAATGACGTAGATGGCAGTAACTATAATGCACCCTTCATCCTTCAAGAAAGAGCGCACACATACTATATATTATTTAAAAAGAGGGGCGAAAGATACCAAAGGGACATTCAAACTCATAAGTCGAAAATAAACAGACAACGCCATGGCTAAAAAAGAAAAAGACAACCAATAGTACACAAAACACAACATACAAAACTAAAGACTGAGCAACACGAACCCCACCAAAAACTGGGGGTGATCTCAGGTGCTCCGGAAGGGTAAGCAGATCATGATCCACATGTTGCACCCTTTGTGTTGCTCATGTTAGTACAAACCCGGTAATAAGTCTAATTCGGTAGGTCACATTCGGAAAAAGGGGACGGGATTGTAGTTACGACATCAGGAACATATCCGCTATCATCTGTGAAACGGATATTCCGTAACGGTCAACCAACTCGTGATGGCGTCCGTAAAATTTACCAAGGGATGATTTCAACTTCACCACTTAAAACTCTTGGTTTAATATCTTCCATGTGAGCAGCAACCCTCTATCAAGGAAATCATAATAGGAAATACAAGCCCTGGAATATCGTATCAACTGGGAGATATATACTCCGTACTCAATAAAGCACCCTCTGGCCAGCCTATTTGTAAAACAATTCAAACGAAAAACAAATCTTGCTGACAAAACAACAGCAACCACTGAATTATAGGCCCTCGTTTTTTTTTCTGTCGGATGTGTTTGAAATATTTGTAAATGATAACATCAGGTGAAGTTAAACATTGGCAATTACATAGTGTATAATTCATTTCTTTTTCTGACCAATTTAACTAAATTAAGATGATTATACTATTTAAGTATGTTACAGTTTTAATGTATCAACATTTGTAAATATGATATATGTTGAATTTGGTATAGGATTTGATAATATCTAATTATTACATTAATATTTTCGTTTTAGGTTTGGTAAAAGCATTCATGATGAAATGTCCATATTAGCCCCAATCTATCAATGCTGTCAAATCCGTTATTCAACATTTCTGAAGTTAGCAAAGCTTTATGTTGGACCAGAGAAACTTAGTTCTGAAACAAGGCAGTCTCTCTCCAAAGATTCCATAAGTCCCATATTAACAGAACCTCATTTATATGCCCTAGACAGGCGCGTTATCAAAGTGCTAAAAGAAATATATACATGCATAGAAGATGGTAAACCTATTGATGAAGTAATCATTGACCGATGACAGTAATTGTAGATGAAAGCTGATTAAGGCATAGCAATTTTTAATAAGAACCTCTTGATATTAATAATCTGAGAAATTGAAGAAGATATCATAGGGCAATAATATCCATTGTGAATGGGCATTGATAAAGGGATAGGGATTGTGATATGAAAGTTTAGAAAGTTTAGATATATGATAATCTGAATAATTGAATAATTGATTATTGACTGGAAATGTTTTGTAGTAGAGTAATAGGGATTTAAAGCTACATTATATCTGACATTTTTGTATTTGTTCAACCACTGATATTATAAATGACAAATGTAACTGTTTGTTGTTTAATTTTTGAAACCTCAATACCGTTGATATAATAATGTTAAAGGTTACACTGCCGTACACCGGCTGATAATTCAATTTTAATAAGCAGATTGCTTACGTTTCTTAATATTTTGACAGCATCTTTTATCATCCAAGTTGTAATTCGTTTTTGTAAACTCAATTCTAGCTAAATTTATTTTGACTAATAAAAAGATATTGATCAAGAATCAAGTAAACAAGATATTTGTCAACATTTGACTAAACATAAAAACAATGGTTAAAAGTATATTTTACAAAGTTTAAGTAAAAACAAGATTTGTGTGAGCAAAACATATGTATAAAATTCATTGCATTAGCATAGAAAAATGTGTGGAAAACCAGTTTAAAATTGAAACAGCTAAAATTATTTTGATTTACATCAGTTTCGTTGAGTGTGCAAGGTATTATGAAAGCCCTGATTTTCAGAATTAACATATCTACAAATTCATTACATATGAGACAAGTTTCATCTTAAACATTGTGTTTTTTAGTTTTGTATTGTGAGATGTACAAATGATGTATGACATGTTATATGTATACCTGTTCATGGTTGTTGTATCATCTGTCAATTCTATTAATATTTGGCTCTCCAATCATCAACTTACTAGTTATGTGAGCCTTAAAGGGGCATTAGCTACGAATTAGACAAAATCTAGAATATATTTGATTTTTCAAGCATTTATAAAAGTTTAATTTTGAAATAATTTTTCGCTATTAGCTGTCAGTTTGGTTCGATTTTGTAAAAATAGGCTAAAACATCGCTGATGTATTATTGGCTTGCAAGTCGATAATTTAACCTCATTTGAACCGGTATTTAGTCGACCTTTAATTGGACCCTTTTCTGGATATGGGCTTTGCACGTTCTTAGCATGTTCAGTTATCAAAAAGAAAAGAATGTCAACATTGAAAAGTGAAACAATGAATTCACTGGCAATAATCATTTCTTTGTCTGATTCGACACACAAAAAAACATACTTATACAGGTTCAAACAATGGTCTTTGATATTAAATCAAACTGTATGTGCTTATCTGTGTATTTGTATTCATATCTATATTTATATTAGGTCATAGACTATCGGCATCTGTGGTAGTCATCTCGATGGTTAATTAGATGGCGTTTAGACTTAAATACACACGAAATGCTGATAAATTATAACGATTCTATGCATTGTTAATTGTTTCTTTTTATAAAAAATAAGGTGATGAGTTTTGTCTTTTTGTAACTTTGATATACGTTTTAGTAAGTTATAATAAATCAAATATGAGAATGTGAGTAAAATCGGTGAACCCGAATTTGACAGCTAAAGTCCTTTTAAAAGAATGCGTTACATAAGTTTTAAATGGGTATTTAATCCCTATAAAACTCCGACCGTGCAAGACCCTCATGGGTAGTTAAGGTCGCTAAAAAAAGCTCGTCACCTATAAAACTAATTATCCAATTTTCTTTGTAAAAGAATATTTTACTAAATATACGATATTTGGAAGTCAGTCTTAAAAACAGTGCCTAAAAAGTTTTGTAATAACTTACGTTCACGCCGCTGTTTATTTTTAATGTGAGAACTCTTTGATCTTATTTCAAAGTTTGTGTATTTGGTTTACTCTTGCGCATGTCTTTTTGATTGGCTACGTGTCTAGTCCGTCATTTATTTGCTATTTCTGTCTTTTTTTGACAAAAATTTTGACAGTTTAAGTTTCTTCTAATTTTGTCTTCTCTATCACGTTGATGAGAAAACGATGCCTTTGTAGAATACTTTAATTAATGTTCTTGAAAAGTTGGCTTTTGGAAAGCTCCAATACTTCATGTTATTTGGTGTTTTTTCAGTAATTTCAGGTCTTTATTATTGATCTGGACCGCAATACCTCATTCATGTACCCTAATGTTTTTGAAATTTAGATTAATGGATGCCGTTATCATTCAGGGTTTCACGAAAAGATACAATATAATGAGACTTTCACTTCATTTTACTGCATTCATTTTATTTCTGGCATTTTGGGGGCTAGCTGTGGCTCACTGGTAGACTTTGTCATTCCCGTTAGTACGTGACTTATTTCTTAAGAAGAAGGTCAAACATTTAAAGGGTTATGACCAGTCATACTTGGAACGCGTTTATTCTTTTCATTTGTCTTTGATTCTTGTTTCATAATGCAATCGGATATTTCATTATACTAATATACCTGTGGGATATTCGTATCGTCTCTTCGTATCATGCTTCCATTGTGAGCTAACGGTAACATTCAAATTTTGTATTACAACACTGTTAACTTCGTTGTACTCCATACTGTCCCCTCCCAAGACAACAGGAATTATAAAACCTTTTAACGACATCTGATTGCATGATAAAACAATATCTGTGTAATGTTTAAAAATATGAAATTCATTAATTTTCGACTTGAAATCAGAAGAAATCTAGGTGAGCCTCGTTTTAGTTCCTATTTTTAAAGCTGGTACACATATATTTATATTTTCCAACAATATTCTTATATTGCATTGTTATGAATTAATGACATTCAGTTTATAACTGAATTGATGAAAGTGGTTACAACTACAACAACTTTTTATAGAAAAAAGTTTTGGCATTCATTTTACTAATTGATGGTTAGGGTTTGTATGTTTTGCTTCATCTTTGAACTGTATATGAAATTACATATTCAAGGCATCATACAAGTGCTCTTAGGTCAGAATGCCACATATTGTTTTCTTTTTTTTTGCAAAATTGTAGCGATTGATATACTAGTATCACATTTAATTTTTTTTACGTTTCTGAGTTGCTTGTTACATAACTTTCAGGCATGTTATATATCTAAGAACGCTAACATTACAACCATTAATCAAAGTGTTAACAGGTTTTTTTTTGGTTATATTTTAAGTTTTTCCATTGAATCTTTAGCTTTTTTTCTTGACCTGTATTGTATACACTTGTGGAATTGTCTCCCGTTGTCCACAATTTGTCATGTCGCTAAGTCGTTTTATCGGAATGTAGTTATATGGTATTTACTTATCTGATATATTTTCTTCTATGAAAATAGTCGTTTACGGTTTAGGAATAAAAAAAAAAAAACAATGAGATCTAAGCATTTCAATTCAATGTCTCACTTCTAGAAGGGAACTGCTACTACCAACGTGTTAGCTTTCTATTTTAAAATAAATGGTCTTTTTTATGCTTTATGACTGCATTTAGCCTACGGAAATTAAGTATCATACAATAAATGTCCGTGCAAATAGTACTACGTCAAAGGATGTTAACATTTTCTGAAGCAGGCAGGTCAAATTGATTAAGCAATACATTTTCAATTCAAAACTAAATATGTTAGAACAGACTGAAAAGCAGAAAATTACATCTTTGAAACAATAAACGATTATTAAACTGAATTCGTAATCCCCATGCAGACATACTGTACAGCTGCCGAAAATTGTTCCTTTATATCCATTTATATAACTTTTCAATCACAGACTGTGTTAAATTTATTAATGTAATACAGAAATGGTGCTAAATAAATAAAACGTGATTTAAAATTCGTAACTTTGCTGGAAAATATTTTTGTAGGAAAATCTTCACAAATGCTCGCTGTTTTTCAACCTATAAATGTTTTATTTAATCCACTAAGTGAATTAGAACATTTTAGAAGTAACGTAGGCAAGAGTATTTGTCTATCAGTATACATGCTACTTTATGTATAACAGTTTGTATCGATACCTATTAAATATATATGATATTAAATAAATAATTCCAGTGAAAGAGCGAGTTAAAGTTTCTAAAAGAATATTTATTTTTCTTGTGTGGTAATAAGCAGTATTTCTTTATGTTCAGATGGTACAAGGAGTACAAACAAATAAAAGATAAGACAAAAATAATAGTTTTGTTGTCAATTATATTTGACATTTACGTGACTGTCAGTACGGTTCGGAGAATAGTTCCCAGACATATCACAAGATGTTACATAGCAATTTAACCACGGCGGTTCCCATTCGTCTAACGAAACTGACTGCCTTCCCGAAGGAAATGTGTTTACCTCTGGTATTTATTGGTTAAATGATGATTAGTCTTTATATTACTGTTTTTACAAAATAGAGTGGCATTCTCACTCGAGTTCCAGGTGAACAAGCGACTGCATAAAATTGTATCTGAGGAAGGAAAATTGTGTAAGTTTCTATGGATCTACTCACTTCATGTTCCAACCACATTGAATGTTTATTGCGTAGTAATAGTCATTATGGTATTTTTTTTATGACAGATCTTAAAGGTCACTATTTAAAATAATTCACTAGTTTTCTAGTCCCGAGGAGATTTATAGTTACACTGCTTGACAAATTGTATATATGGAATTTTCCTTATTGACCTCTAAATGTTTGATCATTATTGCTTTGTTGGGTTGCTGTCTCCTTGAAGTTTTCCCGAATTCTCGTTTTTCACTAAAACATGATATTACACAATAAAACACAGTACGCTTTGTTTAAAGCAATACCAATCATAATGAGAAAAAAAAAACCCGCAGAATACCCGTTTCACATTCGATTCTTTTTCTGAAAATTGATACTGATATGTACGTAAAATCACCATACAGAGGTTAGTCAGTCCTCAGTAAATCAACATGGTAATATACACACATAAGGTTACATGATTGAGCTATTTCAGAATTAACATATTTTGATTCGTAAAGCATTGGCATTGCGAGAATCATCTTCAGCTATGCCCCAAAAAATAGTTTGAAGCAATAATCAATGATACTATAAGGTTCAGGAGCCCACTATTATTATAAAATAGTTCATGATGATTTTTTTGGAAGTGTCCATTTTATAACATATTTGAGTAGTTTGTGGGTTAAGACTATAGTCAGGAATATGACAGTTGTTTTCCATTCGTTTGATGTGTTTGAGTTTTTGATTTTGCCATTTGATAAGGAATTTCCGATTTTGAATTTTCCTTGGAGTTTGGTATTTTTGTTATTTTACTTTTTTGTAAAATCAAAATACTTTAAACAAGCGAAGCATTGTTGGCCAACTGTCACATAAGGCCAGACGATTTACAGATCAGACGACTATTACGGTATTTAGCGATCTGAGAATACGAAACATGTTGCTTATATCCCAGAGTAAGACACATTGTATTATCAATCGATTAATAAAAGTTACAGTAAAAATCATGTAGTGTTGGTAGAAGTTGTTCTTCCTCATAACCATGCTGGAACAGTTTTTGTGTCAAGAGCACACATCTGTTAAAGAATGCCTTATAATCTGAACATACTTACGCGTAAATAGTTTATTTAGATAAGTTATCGCCAAACGATTGAACAGAGAGTATGTTACTGAATTTCGACAATTTATCTGTCTTCAGTGATCATCGTGGGAAAATATTTGAAAAATCAAAAGTTAAAAAGCTGATACAATTTAAAAATGGATCAAAGTAAAGGCAAACTCTTAAAAAAAAGGTGAAAGAATCAGAACTATGTACAAGATAACGCATTTATTATTTAAAAAAGATTTATAAAGATTTATAAACAGCAAGGTCAAAAAAAAAAATTACATGAAGATATGGATTGTCCATGGATGGATTTTCTCTACTCGGTAACTTTATAGTCCAGCTGATTCGGGCATGTTTTTAGGAGAATTGTGTGTTTGATGATGTCACAATGAACCTTTGCACAATTGTAGATCTATATATGTTAGTCAATTTAAGCTATGAACCCACGCTGAAAAATCCAAAATGGCGGCCATTTCAAAGATGGCTGCCAATCAGTCAAAATTTCGGCACCATGTATAAATTAAAGCAAATAATATTCAAATCAAATCTTTCAAAAGCATATGAAATATGTAATCCAATGTTTCTAGAAAGTCATGGCGGCATATTAGACATTAAAGCTTTTTTTGAATGACGGAAAATTTCAAAATGGCGGCCAAAAAGTAAAAATGAACTAAACTAAAACAAGGCTCTGCTGATATTAATATTTTTCATCTAAATGCACTTTGCGGTTCATACGATGTTCTAAGGATTGTGTTTCCCTGATACATCAATGCTGTATGCAAAAAAATTTAATCGAAGATCCATTTAAGGGAAACATTCGAATGTTTTAGGACGCCTTTGAGATTTGTTTGACTGTGTACCATCTGAGTCACAAATGATAATGTATATGTTCTTCTCCTTGTCACATTCCCATTTTTTCCTCGACTCTTCATCAAGATGACCAAAAAATATAACTCAGCACAGACTTTCTATTTGCATTGAATAACACCACTCGTGCTAACAGTTGGCCATAAATTACACCTCCTTCTGAAACACCTGCGTTGACCCCCTAGGCTCAAAGAAAAGGGACTCATGTTTTTTATGCTGTCAATGCTGTGTTATTTGTTCTATATTTTTCAATGTCTGTGTTGTCATCCAGTGAAAGTTGTGTTTATCCATCGTATAGACACATAAAACCTTATTTCATTCCAAACTTTCACATTTGGTAAAATTTTAGATACTTTACATATACCAAAATGTTTTAAATTTGGTGATACTGGATATGACTCATCAAGCTATTTGAACAATAGTACCTAGGCAGCTGACCCTTCTTTAGCACTTGAGATCATCCCCGTTTGCTCAATTTATAGATTTTAGTGTAGAGATGTCTTGACTGGTGTTCGTCTATTTTCTTTGGGTTTTTTTTGTCCATGCTGATGTCTGGTTTTGTTTTTCTAATGATTTGTGAGAAATGCATAACTCCTCGCCACATTTTAAATAGCACTGCACATATCATCATTGTCCTCGCAAAGTTTTATCTACTGTTTTGATATCTTTCAACCACATTTTATTCGCTCATTTTAAAATGCTGATACTTGTGATAAATGTCCAATAGGGTATATGCCATCCGCATTCCCTCGAAGTAGCACTACGGATAAAAGGCTGAACCTAAAGCTTTCATATGCTTATAGATCAATAGAAACGTTTTAATTACTATAGCCATTTCTGAACATGACACCCTATTCATATGCTGTATTTGTGCGATATTGATGGTCAATCCTGTTGCCCGATCTTCTCTTTTTACAAGTGTATAGTATACCAATGACTTGATCTACATTTACCATTTTCAAATCACGTTTGCACACTTGAACTGTATATTTGAATTGCATAATATCGCACACGGGTACTAGAAGCAATAATTCGGAATGAAATATGTGAAAAACACACTGAGTAGCAGTATGATGACACCTATATACACCCAGAAGGGAACATTCTGTTAATGATCTCACACCAAAACGTTAAGTTCAATCTTTAATGTAACAGGCCAGTTGTGGTTAAGTGGGATCAATTTCTCCATATTAATCCATTCTTTAAATGTTACATAGTTTCATCTTGGTCTCGTTCCTCGGAAAAAATTATGTAAGCATCTTTGTATATGATTGAGAAGTACACCTACTGTAACCTCATAGATATGTCTTGTTTATGGTGCATGAGAGTCTCTAAAAAGAATCTACTGTTCATGAAGTACTATGTTTCCTTGATTGAACAATTGTTCAATTACTGTTTTCTTACCAATCACATAAGGTTTTCAACAATACCAATCCTATATGTATATATATATCAAAACTACTCTGTGTTGTGCTAAAATGTGTTTGCCCAGTTCCACCTTTCCGATTTGGCAAACGCAAAAGATCACAAGTGATAATGTATACATGTCTCGGAAAACAGTTAACACATTGCTGGATAGTATTATGGAATTTCGAATCGACGTGACAGATTTTATCTCTTCCTGAAACATTGCGGACTGATGTATAAAAGCGAAAGGACATTTATTTGTCTTTGCTCTCCAGACATACTTAGCGTTTTCATTATCATCTGCCTCAAGCCATATGTGTTATCTTTTTGTTAACTTATGTAAGGATAGAGTTGCACAATTGATTTATTATGCCAGGTTGGCAAACATGTATTTTTGGTTAGACAATTGAGTCGTGTCCATAAAACGATTATTACTAGATGTATGTATGAAACGCATGGTCATATTTGGGTAATGCTATGATATATCTCATTCTTTACTAATATTATTTGTTACTAAGTTATAGCAATAATACAAACATTTGTGCGGGCGCGTAATATATTAGTTAAAGTATGAGAGAATACAAAAAATTAGGTTATGACGAATTAGCCAAGTTAGATAAAAAAAAATGATGAAATATGGAAATTTTCGTACTATGTGACAATTCTTTAGCCGTAGTTGAACTCCTGTAGTTGTCAATATTGTCAATGGCTGCTGTTGTAAAACCACCAGGATTCGCGAAAGGATCCACATATTCAATTCTGAAGCTTTAATAGATGGAATCTTCTATTACTGTAGATAAATGGATAATTGGATCATACATAAACGACCAATGATAACTGTACATTTTGTCATTTAGTACCTCTTTTATTGGTCCTAGCATCCAGTAGAAAGGTCATATACATTACGAGATGGTCCTCGTTGAGTTGAATGTAGTAATAAAGAAGAATAAAACAGAAGCCAATTCGAAATGGATAGCGTTGTATTTGCCTCAATGGAATAATTTGACTGAAACGAAAATTAACTATTGTTTTTGATGACTGTTGAAAAGACTATTGCCTACATTATGATTTTTTGAACTACCTATATGTGCAGCATATTCACATATCGTTGTCATACAAGCAGATTTTTTGCGGTTGCCTGTTTAATTGCAACATTAGCATTATAATTAGACAGAAGAAGTAGGCAACTGCCTTGTTAATGGCGACTCGAGAAGTTTTCATTCTAGTTAAGTCTAGCTTAAATATTGGAATAACGCCAGTATCTGACCACTCGTTGTAAACTACATTTCTGCAAGAATGGTACCGGTATTTACGATTTTCTATACTTTCTAAATCTTTT